GGCCTTCACTCAGCAGATTGAAGAGCTTAAGAGGCATGTTGAGGAGGAAGTTAAGGTATGAAAATAAACATCTTGTGGAAGAAGGTTTTATGGTACCTCAAGTCCCTATTTTCAATTAATAGGGTCTCTTGACATTCTCAACAGGCCAAGAATGCCCTGGCCCATGCTGTTCAGTCCGCCCGCCATGACTGCGATCTGCTCAGAGAGCAGTTTGAGGAGGAGCAGGAGGCGAAGGCTGAGCTGCAGCGAGGAATGTCCAAAGCCAACAGTGAGGTGTCTCAATGGAGAGCCAAATATGAGACTGATGCCATCCAGCGCACTGAGGAGCTGGAGGAGGCAAAGTTTGTAACCCTTCCTCCTATTAAATAAACATTTTATTTATTTGATTTTAATACACCTGTAAGTAAAAATACAACCTTGCTTGCTCACTACAGGAAGAAGCTTGCCCAGCGCCTTCAGGAGGCTGAGGAATCCATTGAGGCTGTGAACTCCAAATGCGCCTCTTTGGAGAAGACCAAGCAGAGGCTGCAGGGTGAGGTGGAGGACCTCATGATTGATGTGGAGAGAGCTAATTCTCTGGCTGCCAACCTTGACAAGAAGCAGAGGAACTTCGATAAGGTAACTGTTTGTAAAAAGGCAGGCACTCACTTCAACATTGCTGTACGCAGGATTTTTAGAAATACCAAGGTCCAAAAACTGAACCTGCTAGGGGGTTTGGTGACATCAGAGTAGTTATTTTTAGGGAATTATTTCACAACTTTTATTGTATATTAAATGGATGGTATTCATTCATCCAGGAGGTATGGATGCATGAATACCATCCATTTCGGGCACTGGTAAGGACTCAGCCTTGATACATGGGGAGTTTACTCTAGCAGGTGAGCTACCGGGACGGCCTGCAAGGTTGTAATTTCTTACTCATCTATATAATTCTAGGTCTTGGCAGAATGGAAGCAGAAGTACGAGGAGAGCCAGGCAGAGCTGGAAGGAGCTCAGAAGGAGGCTCGCTCTCTCAGCACTGAGTTGTTCAAGATGAAGAACTCTTACGAGGAGGTTCTGGATCAACTGGAGACCATGAAGAGAGAGAACAAGAACCTCCAGCGTATGTGAACTTTTATACTTTATATATAGATAAAACAATATTGACTGTATACACTTAACGGTGTTATTTGTTTTGCTTTGTGTTTCCTGTAGAGGAGATCTCAGACCTGACTGAACAGATTGGTGAGACTGGAAAGAGTATTCATGAGCTGGAGAAAGCCAAGAAGACTGTGGAGACTGAGAAATCTGAAATTCAGACAGCGCTGGAGGAAGCTGAGGTATACAGCAACGTCAGGAGTCATAAAAACCACCCAGCAATTTCCTGAGTTGGGCTAATCTAACTTGTATAATGACAATAGGCATGCATATTTTTAGTCATATTTTTTAACGATGACTTTAGAAGTTTCGTTGAGGGAAATTTTTTTTTTAAAAACTGAAAAAACGGTCTGTTAGTATTTTCAGCTTCTATAAAATCAAATGTGATAATATGTTCAGAGGAAATCTGGAGTTATTAACTTTTATACCTGCTCTATTTGAAAAGTGTCCTGAGATAACTTCTGTTATGAATTGGCGCTATACAAATAAAATTGAATTGAATTATAATTTGATCCCACCAAGGGTACACTGGAGCACGAGGAGGCCAAGATTCTCCGCGTTCAGCTCGAGCTCAACCAGATCAAGGGGGAGGTTGACAGGAAGTTGGCAGAGAAGGACGAGGAGATGGAGCAGATCAAGAGGAACAGCCAGAGGGTGATTGACTCTATGCAGAGCACTCTTGACTCAGAGATCAGGAGCAGGAATGACGCCCTGAGAGTCAAGAAGAAGATGGAGGGAGACCTGAATGAGATGGAGGTCCAGCTGAGCCATGCGAACAGGCAGGCTGCTGAGGCCCAGAAACAACTGAGGAACGTCCAGGGACAGCTCAAGGTAAGGTTTATATTATCATTTACTTAAAAAGCATTAAAACAAGGAGTACAGACGGTTCATTGCTTTTTCTTCTTTTGTTGTCAGGATGCTCAGCTGCACCTTGATGAGGCCCTCAGAGGACAGGAGGAGATGAAGGAGCAGGTTGCCATGGTGGAGCGCAGAAATGGTCTGATGGTGTCTGAGATTGATGAGCTGAGGGTGGCTCTGGAGCAGACGGAGAGAGGACGCAAAGTGGCTGAGCAGGAGCTGGTTGATGCCAGCGAGCGCGTCGGACTGCTTCACTCTCAGGTGTGCCGTCTGTTACATACAAGAAAATAAGTTCTCTGAATTATCTAAATGCTTTTTTTAATATCTGTTCTTTTAAATACCATCATTCAGAACACCAGTCTTCTAAACACCAAGAAGAAGCTGGATGCTGATCTTGTCCAGGTTCAGGGTGAAGTGGATGATGCTGTTCAGGAAGCAAGAAATGCTGAGGAGAAAGCCAAAAAGGCTATCACTGATGTGAGTTTACCTCAATGTGGTCTAACTTGTATGTGTTCAATACATTTTTTCAGAACAAACTTGAATTAGACGCAATTTATCGTTTCCAGGCTGCCATGATGGCGGAGGAGCTGAAGAAGGAGCAGGACACCAGCGCTCATCTGGAGAGGATGAAGAAGAACCTGGAGGTCACCGTCAAGGACCTGCAGCACCGTCTGGATGAGGCTGAGAACCTTGCCATGAAGGGCGGCAAGAAGCAGCTCCAGAAACTGGAGTCAAGGGTAAGCTTTGTATACAGAAACTCACAATAAAGTGCTGCGGGGATGACATTGCCCTGGTTCCTTCCACAAAAAGCCAATGAGATCTTTCCATTGGTGAAGGAAGTGAAGGTGCTAAAATGCTTACTCAGTTCTGGGTAGTAGGACTCTACACATTACACTCTCACTATGTGGAATAAATTCGACTTTAATCAGAGCTTGCTAATATTTTTGTGCATAATAACGATATATAACTTTATCAATACATTTCAGGTGCGTGAGCTGGAAACTGAAGTCGAAGCTGAGCAAAGACGTGGAGCCGACGCCGTTAAAGGAGTCCGCAAATATGAAAGAAAAGTGAAGGAGCTGACGTACCAGGTAATTCCTACTGAGAAAAACAATACCCCAAACAATACCCCTTCATCACTTACTATAATTCTGTATGTGTACAGACTGAGGAGGACAAGAAGAATGTCAACAGACTTCAGGATCTGGTGGACAAGCTGCAGCTCAAAGTCAAGGCTTACAAGAGACAGGCTGAGGAGGCTGTAAGCTAAATACATAACGTCACACAGGATCTACAGTTGATTTCATAAAAACATCGCTATTAACTGTCCTGTAACTACGCCCAACACTTCACAGGAGGAGCAGGCCAACACCCACATGTCCAGGCTGAGGAAGGTGCAGAATGAGCTGGAAGAAGCTCAGGAGCGCGCCGACATTGCCGAGTCGCAGGTCAACAAGCTGAGAGCCAAGAGCCGGGAGGCTGGAAAGGTATCTTTTGTTGATTGTGTGATCACAAGAGCAATCGCGTTAGCATTAGAAGTCAGAAGAATGATTTGATGCTGTGCTCTTTCACTGTTGACAGTGTCAATCAATATAACGTCAATATATATAACAATATAACCGGTTTATTTTTGAGTTTCCACATGAAAAAAGAAACTTACTTTCTACATCACATTCTACATTTTACATTATAATTTTGTTTTGCTAATTTGCATTATTCCCTATTTTTTAGGGCGAGCCTGCTGAGTAAGAGTCGTCATCCAGTTGAGGTCTTTCAACAGATTTCATAAAATATGAATCAGCGGGTCCGAGACTCTTTTCAATAAAGATGATAATCACTATCCTGAATCTGTCGTTTTCTTTCTGACAACTGATCTGTTTGGTTGCACAGAGAAATTAGTCATCAAGACATTTTTTAACTGATCGCTATCGGCTATACTGAGCATTATTTGGTCAGCCTACAAAAATGTTTAATTGTTGAAGTAGGTCGCTGCAATGGCTGCAATGTTATTCTTAAAATGCAACCGTCAAAGTACGTCCACTAAAAGTGTTTGTTTTTGCCAACAGTATGGAAAGGTTCTCCACAAAGACATACCTTTTCTTTAACCAGAAACAACCGTTGAATCACTTGGTTCAAAGCCACCAGACTCCACTGTAAAGCCTCCAGAGGCAAACTGTGATTTGTGATTTTGGGCTGTATAAACAAAAATATTTGCATTTCCTGAAGAAAATTTGCAATTGCTGCATCTGCTGCTCTGGCTGCTCAGCGTCCCAGCTTCAGTCCCAGCATAAAGTGTTCAGAATTTACTTCTGAAGATACAACCCAGAACTAATTAATACTGGATTAAATACTGCATTAAAAGATATGATGGGATTTTATTGATGGGGGAGCTATTGGTGCTACGCTTCAACGTGTCGCAGGCCCACAACTGTGTGACTGTGTTGTAAGAACAGTCTGTAGTACAAGTGCAAATCTACATCTGAAAAAGTTTCAAAATAAAGATTTACCCTCTTGAAACTTTAGTTTTTCCCCGTTATCCACGGATTTCTGGGATTCACATTTTCAACAAAAGCGCTCGTACCAAGATAAGAACAAAACATATAGTTTCCACAGTCCACAAACTGTTCGTCCAACAGACAGAAACATTAGTTTAAAATTTTAGAACATAAAAAAGGCTAATCTATAAATAATAATAATAATAATAATAATATCATAAACACACAATCAGCCACAAGCCTCCAATTTAAGCTCTAGTGGGATTCATCATTCAGCACCTACAAGCTTTTAAAACCTTTTTTTATTAGATTTAAAGCTTTCAAACATTGAGTTTCAACCTTTTTTCTAAATATGAGATGACCCCATAAAGGAGGAGAGTCTGGTGGTAAAAGCAGCAAGAGGATTAAAGGAGTGAACATACAGTAGGGTTGGTGTTGTTCTTCCAACATGGCCGCCTGTAAACAACAATATCAACACAGTGTTGTTGTCACTACTATCTGTCCTCATACCTGACCATGCCGCTGTCCTTCAGGGAGGACGGTTCGGTGCCGTTCACCATGGGTTCGGGTTTCTTCTCTGAGGGTTTGTCTCCTGAGTCTCCGGTCAGACCGAGCAGCGCTCTCACTCTCTGAGACTTCACATCCAGGATGGTGTCAGTGTATCCGACCTCCTGCAGGTACCTGAGGGTGGACACAGGTGGACTTACTCTGCAGTGAGAATCACAGCAGCACATCTATCATATTTATAACTTGTAAAAAGTAACAAAAAGTCCAGTGACAAAGACAAATAAGTGACAAGACGCAGTTATTTGCAGGGAAAATCTGTTGATGTCCTCTGACAGAGACAAACAGGCCCTGAACCTCCCTCTTCTTTCTGTTTTCCTGCCTCTTGCTGCAATGTTGGTGCCTTGCTGTACCCGCTGAGCTGCACAAAACCACAATTATACCGAGAGGACAGCTTCCTTAAAGGGCAATGCCACCAAGGTTAGGAGTTTCATCTCTTATTATATCTGTTAGAAATGTTAGAATGTGCTTTTAATTTGGTGAGACTGACATATTAGAGCACTGGTTCCCAACCTTTTCTATCATTTAGTAAACTGACGACCTCTGACTTTCATATTATATTCAAAACTGCACAACAAACCCAAACAGTGAGCTCAGTAACTGCAGGAAGTTTGTGGAAAATTTGTGATTTGGATGAATTTAGTGCAGATTATTTCCTGTAAGTGTCACTTCCATCAGTTAGTTTACAGTTTGACCTGCTGCAAAGATTTGACTGATAAAACGTGAGTTGACTCGGGGTCTTCTCAGCTCACAATTCAAATCCACAAAATCGGTATAATTTCTGGATTCAAATCCTTAAGAAGTCATCTACTCCTTCTGCCTCATTCAAGAATACACAGTCTATGAATGTGTTTTTTCCTGCTGGACACAAGATGTCTCCTCCTGCAATGTAAAGACCATCCTCAGTGTCTGAGCACTGCTGGATCTCACTGTAGAAGTTTGATACTCGACCAGGTTGACTTCCTAAAAACTATTTGTCACAAATCCCCTTAAAATAAGATCAGAGAAACTTTCCACTGTCAGCAGATGAATGTGAAAACATCCTTCTAGAGTCAAACTCTGCACAGACACCATTCAAACATCATTCAGACATCACTCTGTAGGAAGAGGAAGAACGGTCCCCATAGAGGTTCGAACTGTACTGTACCTTCAGCTCCGGACTCCAGCAGGACCCTGCTGACCTGAGAGCAGCAGAGTTTAAGGGAGAGGTTTTATCCTCAGAGGACGGAGGTTTTATTCTGAACAACATCCAGAGTGTTTGTTCACACAGAGACAGAGGGAGGGAGGAAGGTCGGCCTCCCTCCCTCCCTCCCTCTGTACCAGCCTCTCCGATCGCAGGAGGCATCGACGCCTCCGCACAATCCTCCATTCACTGTCACAACACACACACACACACACACACACACACACACACACACACACACACACACACACACACACACACACACACACACACACACACACACACACACACACACACACACACTGCCACTGCTTCCTTAAAGGAGCCCTTTTCTATCAATGAGTATTACACATTTGATTCATATTATATTCAACATTAACAATAACAGCTGATAAACTGAACAGTGAACACAAACTGTGAACTCAGTAACTTGATTATTTCAGAGATTAGTTTCACCGATAGATTTAGTAACTTTACAGTCTGTATTTTGTATTTTTTACCTTTTTAACAATCATACCGACTTAAAAGGCGTCTCTTTTGTGATAAATTCAGTGTTTTTTTCTCATTGTTCTATCAGCTCTTTGGTTGTTTGTTAATGTAGGACGAGGATGTTTATTAGAGGCTGAAGCTCTGTGAATATAACTGCCCGGCTCCGGCACGACGCATGCCGCTCTCCGTTCCAGAAATCTGATCCAGTTTCACTAAAATCAGTCACACAGCGTTACACACTTGTTCCGACCCGGAGCCAAAAGTTAGTACAGTGCAAGAATAAAGAGGAACCACTGATTCTGTTACACTCAGTGACGCTGTTATATGTTGCTTTAAGCAATGTAATGGAGTATTTTAACAGTGTGATATTGCTACTTTTACTTAATTAGATCTCCAGGCTTCCTCCACCACTGCCGGCTCCAACTGGTCTCAGTGGATTAGTGTTTCCCATTAGAAGTGTTAATCTCCATTAAGAAGATCTGACACACACACACACACACACACACACACGCTGTGAGAGTATAAACTGTGTGTGTGTGTGTGTGTGTGTAAACTCACTGTCTGAGCAGCTGCCGTCCTTGTTTCCAGCTGAGCTGATGGCTGCTGTTGGGATGACTGGGAGCCTCACTGTCATTCCCCTCATCTGAGAGAGAGACAGACACAGAGAGACACACAGAGAGAGAGAGAGAGAGAGAGAGAGAGAGAGAGAGAGAGAGAGAGAGAGAGAGAGAGAGATGTTTATATTCATCCATTCATTAACTCTTAAAGCGAGGTAGTCCAGACGTCCTCCAGCTCCTCCCGGGGGATCCTGACGGGATATAAAATCCCTGAGTGAGTTCTGGTCTGCCGTTGGGACGAGTCCAGACAGCCCCCACTGGGGGGCATCCAAGAGGCGCCCTGATCAGCTCCTGGACCCCCTCAGAATCAGAATCAGACATACTTTAATAATCCCGTGGGGAAATTACTTAAGAGAGAGAGAGAGAGAGAGAGAGAGAGAGAGAGTGAGAGAGAGTGAGAGAGAGGCTTCTCATCCATGTTGGCTTCAAAGTTCATTGTCTGAACATCTACTCCAGGGGTACTCAACTGATGGACCACGGGCCACATGGGGCCCTCAAAAGCTTCCTATCCGGCCCTCAGAACTTCCACTGAAAGTGATTTATGTATTTACAGTTTAATAAACTATATGCAGTGAGAAGTTACTGCTGCAGCTTCACATTAAAAGCATTTAACTGGACTTTTATTACGAAGGTGTCGGGACAGGAAATGTCATGTAGTTTGTGAGCGCAATATTTATATTATTATTACAAAAATGATTTTTTTACTGCAGAAAAAGTCTTTCTGTAAGCTGTGTGTTTACATATATTCACAGGTTGGGAATGGATGCTATGTTGTATATGAAAATATAATAAATATAATAGTTAGAGTCATGTAGGCTGATACACCAGACTGTCAACTGAAGATTGCTTGTAATGTTCAAATGTTTTCAATAAAGCGTGATTTATTGGTGTTGGCTGAGTTAATCAAAAACAGGTTTGTCTTACCTGAATCATAACTCGGAGGTTTGATCTCTCCCTGGTTCAGTTCTGTTCCATATTTCAGCTTATGGTATTTTGCCCTGAGGGTACACACACACACACACACACACACACACACACACACACACACACACACACACACACACACACACACACACACACACACACACACACACACACACACACACACACACGGTTTCAGGTTAGGTTTCATACACAGTTACAGCTACAACCTGTTCGCTCTCTGCTCACACACACTGACTCATACATACAATTAAAAGGCTTCAGAATCTCACATATGAAGCCTTTAAGGTCAGATTTCGGTTGTGTGTGTGCTCACCTCTCCTGTTTGAGGGCGTACTCCAGCATCTTGATCCGTCTCACCAGGTCTTTCTTCAGGTTCTCCTGACCTCGCCTCTCCCCCTGCAGGAAGGCGATCTGAGCCTGGAAGACAACGGAGGAAGAAACTGAACCATTTGACCGTTTAACCACGGTGGTCATTAAGATTCGAGCCCCCGCTGCATTTTCTGTGAAACACCAAAGTTCGGTTAATTGCACGAAAAACAGCGACAGACAACAGAAGAAGCGCCAACAGACGGCGGTGACGAGACTGACCGAAACCTCAGGGCAAATATCTGATCTGCATTAAACATCATGAGGAGTGAAAGAGGGTCTGAATCCAACTGACAGAATCATTGTTCCTCTCAGCTGCTGACGATCTAATTCCACAGAGATCATTAAAGTTTCATCAAGTCTAATTCTGTTTTTGTTTCTGATTTGGCGCTTGGCTCCACCGCCACCCCGCCGAGGTCTGGACGTGGACGCAGCAGTGGTGTAAAGGATCACGAAGGCCAAAATAACCAACAGACACAGTCGAGTCTTCAGTCGCTTCATCCAAACAAATCATCAACAAATCAACAACAACAATAAAATGCTGCTTTGACGAAACTCGTTCAATCAGAAGGTAAGAACAGAAAATGTTTGTTTGTTCATCATATAAAACTGGTTTTGATCAGTCACCAAAAAACAAAAACTGACAATTTAGAGGAGTTTTTTAGGATTTTGGTTTTTTTTTTTTATTGAAAAATTTACAAAATTTGAGTTGGAATGTCTTAACACAAAAATAAAGATGAAGTTGATTAGTCTGTTAACTGTCAACTATTAAATTGATCACCAGTTATTGGTAACTGATTCATCGTTTTGTGTCATTTAAAACAAATTTCAGCTTCTCAAATGTGAATATTTTAGTTTGTTTAGTCCTCTGTGACAGTATCTATATCTATCAATCTATCAATCTATCAATCTATTATTCATTATATATTATATCATTTTTCACCAAACAACTAATTGATTAATGGAAAAAATTATCAAACAGATTAATCAATGATGAAAATAAGCAGCCGAAGGAAACACTGGTTCTGCTTTACAGAATCACTGACGTTAATGAAAGTGTAACTATAATCAGGTCAGCTGGTGTTTAAGAGGCCGAGGGCCCCAAAGCCTCCTGGGAAATGTGACAGGAACTAAAACTTGTGACTGACTAACACATCTGATCCATCTTAATGTTCCCCCTCAGACCTGCGGCGGGCCGCGCGACTCAGCGGCGTGGGAACATACGACATGTGACCAAGGAGTAGGGGCGGAGGTCACAAACCCCGAGTTGTCAATCAAACACATTACTTCCTAAAGTTCAGTGAAATAATGACATTGACCATCAGTGTGCTGTTACCCGACTGTTACCCAGCTGTTACCCAACTGTTAGCCCGGCTGTTACCCGACTGTTACCCGGCTGTTACCCCTGCTGTTACCCGGCTGTTACCCCTGCTATTACCCGGCTGTTACCCGACTGTTACTCGACTGTTACTCGACTGTTACTCGACTGTTACCCAGCTGTTACCCCGGCTGTTACCCGGCTGTTAATAATAATAATACATTTTATTTGTAAAGCACTTTTCATAAAAGAATCTCAAAGTGCAACAGAAACCAAGAAATAAAATAACCAAAAACACAAAGGGCAATAACACATTAAAATCAGCAACCAATAATAATACAAGTGATTAAATACATTAAGAAAAACAGCTAAAAGACGTTACCCGGCTGTTACCCGACTGCTACCCGACTGTTACCCTGCTGTTACCCAGCTGTTACCTTGCTGTTACCCGACTGTTACCCGACTGTTACCCGACTGTTACCCAGTTGTTCACTTCACTGACTTGCTGTGGTCGGTTCCCTTCTATCTGAATCAAACACTGGAATCACAACTGGTCCTACAGACACTGACTGAATTCAGTGTGAACAAACTAACAAACATTAATGGAATTCATCCACAAAGAAAACTAGATACTTAACTAGAAAATGCTTCGTATTCGTTGAACGTTGAAGTCGTATGTGAGGACAAAACCAGCAGCAGTGACCTGAAGACTCTGTCTGCTCGATACGGTAAAAACATTATGTTGCCGTTATTCTGTCAGATATTGTGATTGAAATATGATTCAGAGTGGAGATGATTGTTTTTGCATCACAAATTTAATTTTCACTTTTTTAAAATTATGATTTTTGGGGGGTTTTACCAAATAAACAGGTTTTCTTGCATCTGGAGAATAAGATTTGTTGTCTCTGCATTATAATGCTGTTTATTAATTGTGCATTGTCCCTAATTGAGTCCCCTGCACTACAGGGACACTGTACACTTATAAAAAACATTTACATATTTACAAGCTCAAACAAACTGTTTAAATATGAGCTACGGAAACACACTGATGCTGATCCTGGAGGAAGAAAAAATCATATTTTAGCTTATTTTTTACATCATTATCAGATTGTCAGGAAGATTTTAAAATACAAACCAAAACTTGACCTAAAAATGAAAACTAATAATTGATTATCAGAGTGGCTGTTGATTGATTCTACTTTGAATTCTCCGTCAGACTCTGAAGGTTTCATTGCTGATTCATCGGTTTGATCCGAGCAGAACGGACGCTGCAGGCCGCCGCGCTGCTTTATGACTGTCGCTTCCAGCCCATTATACACACCAACTGACTCAACTGCATGTTTACGCGCGCACACACACACACACACACACACACACACACACACACACACACACACACACACACACACACACACACACACACACACACACAGGAAGAAGTAGGACACTCAGCCCTTCATTCATGTCAAACGCTTTATAAGTGGGTCGCTCCTCACTCGAGGCGACTGAATCTGCATTTCACTTAGACGATGACAATAAACTGAGACTCTGTTTGCAAACAGTTACGTGTTCCTTGAACGCATCACAGCGAACCTCCTCTGTGATCCCTGAAGCTGCAGTCTGTAACTTTTGGAAAATTAACTCTTGAGAATAAACCAGCTTCGTCCGGCTCCTCCTGGTGCTCCTAACGGCGTCTACAAGAATGAAAACAACCAATCAGAGCCGAGAAAGAGAGAAAGACGCTGGTTCTTTCTCAGATCATCTGTCTCACACTGTCAGGATTTAGTGAAACTTTCATATATTTCTACCCACTGCAGCTTTCATTTGTACACTGAAACCACGTTTATGTTCACTGAGTTCATTCAGTTTCTGTTTGCAGAGCAGATCTTGAACATGTTCCAGATGTAAAGCTGCGTAGCGATTACATCGTCTGCATCCCGTGATGCTCCTTCGTCTGTTGCCATGGCGTCTGAGGACGGCGGTGAACTCTGTGTTTAACAAGCTTTTGTGTAGGAAGGCATCTGCAGCACGTCGGGGGCGTCTTTACTCATAATTACAGATTTTTACTGACACGTCTGAATGTCATGTTTCAGCCGCAGTAAAGCGGAGAAAACAAATCGATAGCGGAGGTCACACGGTGACAGCTCCGGACTATTACAAGACTTTCCACAGATTTTCCATTAAAGCACTTTGATGACCTCAAACTGCTCTCCTTGATGTTGTTTTCCACTCCTGACAATCATATGCTGCAGTGAATATGTTAAACAGGTTGGAAAGTACATTCTGCTGTTAACTAATTCCCCCGATGCTCTCTGCCTGCAGCGTACACATCTAAACCCAAGGACAGGAGGAAAAATACATATTATCTGACGCTTCCTAAGCCCCGCCCCCCGGGCTCTGTGCTCCAATAACAGTTGAGAATCCCTCGGCCAACTTCCTCCTTTCCTGTACTTACATATGCTATGCTAGGCTAATCTATGTTGTTTTATATATTCACTCATTTCAGGTCTTTTCATGTCACCATATTGACTTTTAATATATATATTGAAGTTAATTATGTGATATTAAATGTTCGACTAGCAGATTAGGGAAGGTTGAGGTTATCAGAAGCTCTAGATCGTTCTGGTTGTTGATGATTACCATTAAAACCCTTCAGTAACCGCGGCTGGAGAGCAGGAACTATCTGGCAGGGACGTTTTACTTTTTACTCTAAATGACAAACTGGGTAACCCACTTGTTAAAAATTCCCATCAGCCCTTTCTTCTTTTTTAGAACGAGCCGGTGCTCCACATCAGATCACAGAGGAAGCCGGAGAACTTCTAATAAACAGATTTAAACTCTTTTTCTGTTTGTCAGTGAAACAAATGACGGACGTTTGTTCTGGTTGTTATTTCAGTGGAAAATCACACTGAGCCGACACTTGATGATATAACACAACTTAACATGAGTCCAGTGAAAAGGACGATGTCAAACAGCACATCACTCACCAGAGAACAGTCCTTATTATAATATATAATATGTGCTCCTGTTATCTAGAGCAGCAGTTGTTGTTTTATACAGTTTACCACCTTATGAAGATGCTAACATGTTAGCAAACAGCTGCTTATTTCAACAGCAACATGTTCTCTAACGTAGCTCCGTTTTTAGTCTTATTAACTCTCCATAAGCCCCGCCCCTTTTTGCTCAGTGCACCAATAACAGTTGAGAATCCCCTCGTAGACTTCCTCCTTTCCTGTACTTAGATATGCTATATGCTAAGCTAATCTACTGCATTCATCGTAAGCTACATCTACATGTGACGGCCACATTAGTTAATTAGCTGGTTAACTACTGATGTAGATTTGCTGGCGAGTTAGCGAGATAGATTAAGATGTAACATCTTAAATTAGCCACTGTTAGCAAAACTGTCTTTTTATACATTCATCAGCCTCTCAAAGTGAAAATGAAATTTGATGTGAAAAGTTTATGATAGTTTACAGAAGTTCAGTATAGAAAACAATGAATCTTCTCACCATATTCTGAATTTCTACAGTTATAAAATGCTTTTATCTAACGCTCTGCTAACGGAGGTAAGAAAGGAAGCACTGAAGCACTTCCAGGTCATTTCATTGTTCATCGTGTTGAACAGCTATTCTCCAGTATCTGACCCAGAAGTCACAAAAACTCATTGTTTAGGTATTTTCAGGTATTCTTAATGAGGTTTCACAGAACAATAAAGAGCAGTAGTTGACTC